TGGTCATTTGGGGAGAGGAATGCTGCTCCAGTGTCAACAGTAAGGACTGGTTCTTGCTTTCTGGCTGGTGATAGCTGGATTGTAAATAGTAGAAACCTGTGCTGTCTGTTTGCTTGCTCAGACCTAGAGGACTCTCATTTGCTGTTCATGCCTCTTACAAAGCCAGTTTTGGAACCTCTTATTCCCAGCAAAGGAGATAGATATCCTTATGCAAATGCTGTTTATAGCTTTCCATTAATCATCCAAAAGCTGTCAAACAAATGGGGTAAGGTTAGGCAGTTTAAATCTCCAAGTTAGGCAATTTAGGTCTCCAAGTTGCTGACTCTGAAATTTCGAAGTGAAAGTTTAATTTGAGTTAAACTTTAATGGAACAAACAGTAACTCATTCTTGTCCTTGCTATGTGCAGAATCAGTGCTCAGTACAGAATGTGATGTAAAATGAAATGCCTCATTTTCTGTGTCTTTCTGTTTCTTGCCCCCCAGCCCCTACTTGTGCACTGTTTTTTCTTGGAACTTCCATGCTGTGTTGCAGAGGGAACACATAAGGACGGCACTACCTTCTAGGCACATAATTTCTGTCTAAAAATATCTTAGTGCTCTCAGACAGAGGAATGTGTTTTCTCTTTGTGTTAGGCATCCCTTACACACCCTGTTGCTGACATTTTCCAAGAAGCTGTTTGTGAGAATTACACCAGCTAACATATAAACCTTTAGGGAATTGCAGTCAGCTTGGGCTGAGCTCTATGTTTGACATGGGGAGAGCAGTTTTCAGACAGAATGGGGTACTAATCCTGCCAGGGTCAGGCCCTTGTATTGATTTTGATTTTTTTTTTTTTTTTTTTTTCTGGTAGACTTGAAGGCTCAGTTAGTCCCAGGGATTATAAAGTATTGATCGGCTACCACTCTGTGTTTGGGCAAAGTGGGCTGTGCATGAGGATAGCTTGAAGAATCATGTGCAGAAAAGACATCTAATGACCTTAGTCACTTTGTGGGGGTTAGGTGTGAATGTCCTCCCATTATTTGCAAGCAGACTTTGCTCTCAGTGTTCATTACTCAGAATGCTTCGCCAAATGAATATATCCTACTGATCTGCTGGAGTCTCACACTGGTCCCCAACAGCTATTCCCAGGAATGGCTTCCAGTGCTCTGCTGGTAATCAGCCTTGGGCAGGTGATGGATTAGGAGGTGTAGTTAGTCTGCTGGGCTACATGATGTTATTTCTGACCAGCAGGTCCTTGAGATAACAAAGGTATTTTCAAGACAGACATAGATGCAGTGCTGACAGAACGGCACCGGTAAATATGCATGTTTTTCCCAGGACAAAAGCCCTTGCTGATAAAATTGCCTGTCTCCAAAATTTGGGGGGGAAAAAAAAAAAAAGAAAATAAATGGTGATAAACGTGAGTAGGGGCTTTGGGAGGCAAGAGAAGGAGGACTTACTCCCTGGATAGGGAAAACAGAGCGTAGCTGGAAGGAAAAACACAGCAAGAACAAGAGACTGTGGAAGACCTGGAAGAGGCCTTGCAGCCTGGAAGGCTCCACGTAGGATGCCTCTAGGGTCAGGTATCATGCTAGGGTATCTCTCTCTTCTCAGAGAAGGCAAACCACGCTGGTGACATGGCTGCACTTGTAGCTCTGTGCATGAGTGTCTAGTTTGTCCCCAGAAGATCACAGAAGCTGGCTCAGCAGGGCTTCTTGGCCTTCCATGGCAGGAGGTGATTCACAAGGGTGTACTGACCATCTGGGGTGCCATGTCAAGACAGACCCTGGCAGTGGCCCACAGGCAGTGAAGGGAGATTTGCCCATTTCCAGCTAAGGGTGGCTCACCACCTCCCTGTTTTGAAAGATGAGGGCTTGTTCTGAGTGCTGCTGCTTCCAGCTTCCCTTCAAGAGCTGGTGAGGCCGAGGACAGCTAGAGCTGAAAAGGCTCTCCTCCTTCCAGCCTTCAGGGTGGGACCACTGGTGTTCCCACCTCTGGTGCTTCTCAAGCACCTCTTGACACCATTGTTACAGATGTGGGAGCACAAGGCTGGAAAGGTGTCCAACATTTTTGGCCAAATCCCAAGGATAGCTTTCATCTTTTTCAGCCTGCTGGCTGCCTTCACCTCTCTTGAGCACTACATCAAACTCGCTGCTTGTCAGCTTGCCACAACTCCATCTTCTCCTTCGCTGATAGATCCTTCAGTTTTATAGTGGCGTTGAAATAAGGCATGAACTTGCCATAAGTAAGGGAACTCTTCTGACAGAATTATTGTTTGTGAAGAAAGAAACAAGTTGTATTATGAGGGGCAGAGTGACCACAGTCCGGTTCTGGTGCCCATGCCTCCCCCAGACCACTGAACATCTTCTTGGGCCCTGACCCACCTTCAGTCCTTCCTGCCTGCACCGTTCCCTCATGCAGGCAAGAGGCAGTACCAGCTGGTGGGCCCAGCAAAACTGGTAACACTTTGTGCCTGCTGTCGCCTTCCCCTCAGTGAAGACAGTTGATGTCTCTCTTCTCCAGGTGCTCATCAGCTTTCACAGACCGTGTGGGATCAGATGCTGCTGTCACATTTGGTTGGATTTTGCTAATAGATTCAAAAGTGGTAAGAGCTGGGCAGACCATGTGGTCACAGATCCTTGATTTCATTGAGAAATATCCTGAATACCTCTTGGTTTTTTACAGTATAAACATACAGAGAGGAGTAGGCTCCAGCATGAGAGCTGCTCAGAAATTAATGTGGTGTTGCTTTGGTGAATGGGACTTGCACAGGTCCTACTGGGGCTGCCTGTGCCTGAGACACAGACCTGTTTTTCCAACATGGAAGTAACCCAATCGTTGACTGTGTGGTGAGGTGTGCTGTGGCTATGACCCCGACTTAACTGGTGCACTGCACCAAAGGCAGCTGTAAATCAGGTGTCACTGAGGGCAACAGGATATTTCTTAATGTGCATTTCCCACCAGGCCACTATGGCCTAGAGCTATTCTTAGCTTCTAGTAATGCTCTGCTAAATTACAACAAGTTTAGTAATCAGTAAAATACTACAAAATAAATCAGATTTCTTTTTTTCAGATTAAAAAGTGCTATTCCATGCTAAAGCGGAAGGGAAGTGAAAACCATATAAAGTCTGCTTTATAAGTTTAAACTATTGCAACAACCAAAGAGCAACAGTGATTCTCAGGTGAAAGATTTCCACTGCTCTGTTTCATTCAGAGGCCATAGGATGAAGGATGTACTTTCAGTAACAGCCAAGATTGGAGTGTTCAAAGTAGGTCCTGTTCATACCTCTGCCACAGACCTTGCACAGGGCGTTCAGGCAGCTCCTCTACTTGGAGAGCGATTAGCTTCACAGTCAAACACTCACACTGAAGTAGCACATGAATGGCTGAGTAAATCCAACAGCTAGTCACTCTTGAAAGGAGAAGGTCCCACCCTGGCTCCTCTGTCCTTGCTGCAGGCCATGCGGTTCTGCCGCACCAGCAGTATCACTAGGTGTGACTCTCCTCTGATGACACAGGGACCCAATTCAACTCCCTAACCCGGCAGGAAACCATTCGCTTTCCAGTTTTACTTTGTTTCCTAACAGGTGACTAGGCTTAGTGGAGGTTCAGATCTGTGCTCTCATCAGTGCAAGGTGGTGGGACGTGGGAGCAGGTTCAACACAAGCTGTGACACATAACTTCGTCCTGGCACGAGGAGGCTGGAAGTGGTAAGCCTGGGTGCTAAATGCCTTGGAATACAGTTTGCTGACTTGGATGCCTGTACAAGAGCCACAGCCCCTTCCAGCCCCCTCTCTCTGTCTAGAAAAGTCTGTTACATGTCATGCACCACATCTGGCTATGTTCATCCCTTGTAGAGGTGAACAGGCTCTTTTGGAGTTGAACTGTGGTCCAAAAGACTAAGCACACACTCCTGAAATCTCACATATGCACAGTTAGAAGGCTACTGATCCCCCCAGGGCATCGTAAGCCCTTCTGAACCCTACTCAGCCTTTGCAGCTGGTTTGGTCATCACTGGCCAGTATTAATTGGTCTTGATTTTAACCTTTGGTTGTTGCAGAGAAAGTAATTTGTTTTTTGTTAGGTGCTGGGCTGTTCCCAGTTCCTCTGGGCATCCTCAGCTCTGCATGGGAAAGCTGTTCACTCCCCTGGCTACGGACTGTCAAAAATTCCCCTTTCCCCATCCTCCTTGGAATGCAGTCCAGACACAGATGACAGGAATCACAGGTTCTCCTTCAGGAAACTGAACACAGTGGTGCAAGCTGCCTTCCCTTTTCTGCTCTTTTGCGATTTCTCCGTCCTTCTCAACCTCTTATGCCCAAGAGCTACTCATCCTGCCCCCAGCCTCGAGTGAGACCAAGCACAGAGGGAAAGGCTTGCATGCTCTATGCCAGTTTCTTTCCTTTACATGCCCTGATGTCCACTATAATGACAGATCTGAGACCAGCAGGAGCTGGCCTTGGGGAGGAGAAGTAGTTTGGTCTGGAGGAGTTCAGTGGAAGAAAACAGCAGTCAGCAAAGATGCCATAGCTGAACCACCTGCTGTGGCTCTGACGGCACTGCTGAGCCTGGAGCCTCTTAGCGCAGCACAGAGAGCCAGGGGAAGACGCACATAGAGAATGGTGCCAGGAAGGGGACCCGCAGGTGGGACCTCTCTGCCCAGTGCCAACAGCATGATTGGAGATTTTAACAAGGAGACCTGAGCTAGCCCTGGATATAATGCAACCTATCAGTGATGAGTGAGCTGTGGATCTACATGGGAGACTGCAGCACTCTGACCCCAGGATTAGCTGGCTACCAAACCATGATCTGTGTTATTTGTTTTAAATCAGACATGTTTCTTTAACGGATGGTGTAGGAGGTCTCTCCTGTTGCCCCAGTGACTAACTGGCTTTTGACTGGCCTGGTGGGGGGAGCTGAGATGCTCACTGCTTCCTCATTCCTCAGAGTTCACTGCTTGGGCTCACCACTCCTTAGCTGAGTTCAGTTATTTAAGCAGGACAGCCCGGGAGAATACATCATGTGAAGGACAGGGGCTGTGCTGAACAGTGTGGGACCTCTGGGCACCTGGTGTTTGGCTTGTCTTCGTAGGTGCCGTGACCATGGCATCCCAAGGCCAGGTCATTTTCTGGAGGTATGGTATTATCTGCATCTGCTTTGGGAGAGAGGAGGGAGGGAATTCCATTTTCCAGATGCCTCGGCTGTATCACCCTATTGCCAGGAGCTTTCAAGACAGCAGTTCTTTGCAGCTCGACTCTATACTGCACTCACCCAGGCTACTTAAATACCGGTACAGCTTCTTTTATACAATCCGTAAGGCCATGTAGCTGTCAGACACCCATGTGCAGGTCATCAACTGTAGCCAGGATGGAGATGCGTGTCCTAGAAACTGTGCATGGCTGGAATACACTAACTCAGGTTTGAATGCTGTGGTAGGTCGGGGTATCAACGGCTTGAAAAAGACTCTCTGTTCCTGCTGTTGTAGGTTGGGGTATCAATGGCTTGCGGAAGGCTCTGCATTCCTTCTGCTGGCCCTCAGACAGTCACTTACGTCTCCATCACATTGGCGTGCTGTGGGCAGAAAGGCAAAAGCCGTCCTACAGCATGTTTCCTTGGTGCGTGGGTCAGGAGTAAGAGCTGGGAAGACATGCAAGTTGGTTTGTGCCTCTTGTTTCAATGAGCCTGTTTCCTTTGGAGCTATTGACCAAGTCCTGGTGAACTACAGTCAGAAAAAGAAGTATCGTGGGGAAGGCCATAAAAATGTCTACCTTGTATCCTTATCTCCTGATTAGCTGAAAATAACCCCCCACCAGATGGCTAAATTAGTTGGCAAACTTGCTTCAGCCTCTGAGAAATGAGGACCAGGTTTGCATCTAAACCTGACTGTGTGAACAGAGCCACCAACAAGCCACATCTCTTCATCCCAGGTATGGGCTCTTCCAGGCTGGATGGAGGCAAAGACTCCAGTGAGGTGTGTGAGACATCCCTGCTTGCATTTATTCTGTCAAAAAGATTTCAGCTGTTACGAGTATCCATCCCTCCTAAGCTGAACAGCAGCGGGGAGAAGGACGGTCCACATGTGAAGAGAAGAGACCTCTCATGCATGAGCCGTGCTCCAGCTTTCTCACATGGAGCATCAAGGAAGAACTAAATAGTAATATTATCTGCACCTTTCCACTGATGAAAGTGAGATCACTAGTAGATATAATGTAACATGGTGTAACTATCCACTGGGCATCGTATTCCTCATGCATCTGGAATGCATGTAATAACCAGCTCTGTTATTCTCAAGAGGCAGCCCAGCTGGCTTTTGTCAGAGAAATGTAGTAACTGATGGGTGTGAAAAAATGAACGCCTACCCCTTGCTGCTCTGACAACCATCCTCCAGCTTTGCCAGTGCCTCTGCCCGCCCCGGGAGGCTGCGCGCAGCCAGACGGCAGCAGGTTACTGGAAGCAGCAGGCTTATTCAAAGCGTTGGCCTCTTCAGGCTAATCTTGAAACACAGAAATAGCCCAGAGAGAGGGGTGAATTTTCCAGGAAGCTTCAGAGGAGCAGTGCGAGGTTTCTATTGATTTCAGGAAAAACCAAACCAAAACAATCCAAAAAATAAAACTGAAGCACTGAGAAAAGTTGAGTTCTGCAATCATTAACTGCTTATTGGAATGGAAAACCCTTCCTTTTGGGTTACCTCTGCCATGCTATTTCTTTTCCACAGTAAGCTTTGATGTAAGGAGGAAGGCAGGGGACCTTCAATCTCTTAATCTTCCAGGTTTTTTGATCCTTGCACCTCTAAGCCCATTCCCAAGGGAAAGCTTACTCTGCATGGAGCTAGAGATTAGAAGGATTAAGCCTCTGCCGCCTGTCACGGTGGGCCTGCAAGCCTCTCTCTGTCCCCTGTGCTCAGCAGCATTCAGGCTGCCCAGAGCTGCAGGCAAAACCCTGTTTGGCTGATCAGGAATGGGACCGGGGAAAAGAAGGTAGGGTATGTGGAGCGGCATCCCGCAGGCTGCCAGAGTGCTGCCAGGAACCGAGGGTGGCATCAGGGCTACGACTTGTGTAGTCCCAGCCATCTGCATCAGCCAGTTTCCACGCCTCTGAAACGCTGGAAATATGAGGGGTGCTGATGCACAGAAAATTGCTTTTTGCTTGAACTACTGGACTAGACTGTTGCGAAACACAGCTATTGTCAGCATGTGGCCAGGTTGCCAGCTTCCTCTTGTTTGTTCGCCCTGCACGCCAGATCGACTCAATACATGCAGGGGGCTCACAGGCAAATATTTTTAAGGCCCTTGTGATTCTTGGATCTTGCAGTTTCTGTGGCAGAAACTCCAAAGAGCCTGATTTCCCCTTGTCCCTGGCAAGGGGGGTTGAAGTGAGCAGTGGCATCCATATACCCAAAATTGCCATCCCCCCTGTAACAAACGAGCGGCTTTTTGTGTTAGCCCTGCTGCTTCCTTGAACCAGGGGTGGGAAGCACATCTCTGGATGCAAAGCTAGCAAGGCTTTGCAGCTACGGGGGCAGGTGGCACCAGCGGTGGACAAAAGCATTGGTGCTGGCCTGTTAGTGCTGGTTTGTGTTTGTGAGCGAGCTGAGGACGGCTTTGCCTGGCACAGTGCTAGGGCAGAGGTGGTGTTCAGGCCAGAGGGTCCTTTTGAGAACTGGGGGCAAGTGTGGTGGCACCTGAAGCATTCAGGGACTGCACAGGAGGCCATCCTGGCTGCTTGTCCCCTGCCATACCCCCTCCAGCATTTGTTGATGAAATCCTCCGTAACCTGCAGGCAGCATCCCTCGGCTCCCAGCAATTTCTCCCCTGCCCACTCTCAGGAAGGAGGATTTAATCTAGAGGTGTGAGGGTGAGTCACAGCCGCTGTGAGATGGCATGGCTGCCACTTGCTCCAGCCATATGTGATGTGGGTCTAAGCCTGTGCTTCCCGGGCGTGAGAGCTGAGGCTGATCATGGCAACCTCAGCTGAGTTTATAGCAACTATCTTGCTCTGGGATCGGCTCCGTAGAAACTGGTGGAGCTCCTCAAGGAGGTAGATATTATTCAGCATACACAAGAGGCTTGGTATTTGCCCTGGAATAGGAAAGCACAGGGTTGTCCCACAGTGAGCCTGGCTGAGACCCCAAGTGACTCGGGGTTGAGCCCCATGGGACATGACAAGTCTCCACTGGGAGCTGCCACACTGCAGGATCTGCATGAGCCAACAAAGGAAGTCCCCATCTTGCAGGCCCCCAGGGGAGGCGGTGGCTCGTGATGGGTCCTCGGCTGCCCGATGCCCACGGTTGGAGGATATCCGCCGCTTTCCTCCCCAATGGGGTCAGCTGTGACCGCAGCTGCGGGGCACCAGGAGGGGGCAGGCGGAGAACTGCTGTCCACCCTGGTCGTGAGTGAAAGCTGCTGAAAATGCGGAGGAAGCCAAATGTGTGACACCTCCCAGCTCTGAGGGCATCTAGGCAGGGAGGGCTTGATATGGATGTGAATGTATATATGGACTCGTATAAACCTTTATATGGACTTACGGCACACTCATGACGAAATACACAGTTCTGATCCCTTCTCCTGACACGCTGGCATGTGTAAACAGGACCACTCAGACAACTTTCCGCTGGCTTTAAGGATGAAGATGGAAGGGAGACAGTGGGAGGACAAGCAAGCCTTCTGCAACGCCTCCCCTCCTCTCCATCCCTTCTTTCAATCCATCTTCCCTTTCTCCCGTGCTCCCTGGAGGAGGGGCTTGTTCACATGGTGCAACTCTCTAGAGCTCCGTACCAGCCCCATAATCCTGGCATCTGTGGTGATTGAGGCACAATTGTGCAAGTAACTGATGCAGGCGCACATTAACAGCAGGAGGAGCAGTGTGGTTGTACGGATACCGACAGGCTCTTGTGCAAGAGGCTGCCTGATGTGTTGGGAAAGAGCCAGTGAACACAGCTGAAGCAAAGCAGCTATTTTTGTGTGGGCAGGAGGGCTGTGACGTCTTGCAGCCTGGTCCTGCCTGGGGACGAGACGGGAAGAGGCAGCTCGGGAGTTTCTGTGTACAGCAGGGCAAAACAGGACCTGGGCTGGCAGCCCTGGACGCTGTTGTGGTGGCCATGGCCGGTGCCCATGTCTCCTGCGGCACAGCTCCCTCCAGCACCCTGCTAGGCTTGGGGAAGGGGGAAAGTCCCCTGTGAGGACCTCCTGTGGCTCTCTGGGCTTCTCCTCCAGCAGTCCTAAGCAGGGCTGAGCCCAGCAAGCCTGTGAGACCTTCGGACATGAGCGCATGAGCTGCTCGTCCCGGGATGTACCTGTGGGTTTTTGTGGAGAGCTGCTTCAGGGCTTGCTGAAGTGAGAAGCTGAGGTTGCTGCCACAACCCCCAGTCCATATGACAATGCACCCAGGACCACATGTGACAGCTCCACCGGCTGTGGTGGGAACCTGCACCAGGCCACGCTTACAGATCTGTCTGAGCTGGGGCTGTGCCAGAGATGGGTTGCACTCAGCAAGGCTCAAGCTGCGCTGCTCCATGCCGTGCTGCTGTCACCTCCTCTGCTGGGGCTGCTCTGCTTGTGTGGCTTGGCAAGTGGTCTTCTCCTCCTCAGCTTCTCATCCAACAGCCACTTATCCATCTGTGCAGGGGGCATCCCCAAACCAACCAGCTCACAGACCTGGCCTTGTTTCCAGCCCCCTCCTGCCCACTGCCTGGCTTCTACTGGGTGTCTCCTGGGGTCAGGGGCCTGTCTCAGTGCTCTGCTCACCTCCCTGGGCAACTGATCCTGCACAAGTGCCAGCAGGGATTGCCTGGCTCACTTATGCACCAGGAGATGCAGAGAGGAGCGTCCTCCACTGGGACCTGCTGCCTCCTTCCAAAGGCAAAACCTGAGTCTCCTCTCCTCCTGCCACATGGTCCCCTGCCTTTCATGATGAGTGCTCACCCTGACATTTGTCACTACTGTGGTCATGTGCTTCACTGGTCCACCTTGCTCTAGGTCTGTGGCTCACCTGCCTTGACCTCCTTCCTTCCAGCAGCTCTGCAGACGTGCACCGCAGGCGTAGGGTGTGAAAGGAGGTGGGCTGCGTGGTAATGTTGTCCTTTCTTTTTTCCCCAAATAGCATGACTACAGTCATTATCATCCTGGCTGCGGTGATTGCCCTGATCATCGGGTTTGGTGTCTCAGGTATGTGACTGCTCAGGTTTCCTGTTGTTACCAGTGGGGTGATGAACTTCTGCCCTGCCACTACCTCCGTGTCTCCATCCTGTGCATGGGCTGAGGTGTGATCTTGTGTGGAAGTAAATGCCACCTATAACCCTTTAATGAAGGCTCGCTTTATAAAGCTTATGTACCAGATGGCTGAATTAAGACTGCACAGGCAACTTCTGTTCTGGCCCTTCTCAACAAGGTATCGCTCCATGGCATTAAACCACAAGGAGCTCTGCTCCCCTCGGAGACTGTGAGCTCTTGTAGGTTTTAAATAATGCAGAGATTTACACACACACACACACACACACGCTCAGGGTGGGTTAGAAGACACCAGCACTTGGCACAGAGCTGAGCGAGGAAATCTGTGTCGGCTCTTAATTTCTGCAAAAACTTGTCAGCAGGCCGGCCCCAGGCTGCAGCAGTGGCTGTGCGCGTGTGACCCCTGGTGCTGTGGGGCAGCTCCATTTTGCCCTGGGAAGTGAATGCCTGCCCTATGCTTTCACAGCAGAAGTTAAGGGGGTTTTTTTTAGTTATCATCTGGTGTGTTAGCAATGTGTGAAACGTTCAACTCCATCTGTTGCTCCATGGGAAGCCAGCTGAGGCAAGGGGTCAATAAGTGTAAGACAACATGTGCTGCTAGAGATGTAGTGCTGTGTTAGCTGAAATTTCCTTGGGCTTGGAGCACTAAACCGACACATACAGAAAGTTCTGCATGTACTGTGCTCCGTCTCCCAGACAGGAGAAGATGACGGAATGCAAAGTAGGACAGCATCTGCCAGGATGGGGCACATTCCCCTGCTCCCTCAGAGATGACAAAAGTGTGTTGCTTTGGTGTTGGCCAAAATGCAGTCTCCTTGGGGCGCTTAGGGAAGGGCTGCATGGGAAAGAGGACCCAGCTCTGGGAAGGAGCTAATTCTCAAGCTCACTGGTTAGGATCTGACTTGAGAAGTGATCTGTGTCCCCAGTGAATGGAAAATGATGATTTTTCTTAAACAAAAGAAAACGGTTTGCATTCCAGTAAGGGTGAAAGAGCAGCCTCCTGTTTGTCTGCCAGCATTACACCTTGCAATCACATTTATATTGCATAAAGGGAGGTCCCAACTAAGAAAAGACACAAAAATTATGCTTTTCTGGCAGCTACAAAGAGAAAAATCCCTGATACATATAAGTAAGCAAGAAAACACCATGCGAATTCTTCTCAAACAAATAAGAGGAGCTCGTTTTTGAAGGAGACTGCCTGCTAAAGAAATGCTCCTCTGCTTTATCTTGATATATAAGCCATGGGAGTTGACCCCTGCTAGCAGCACTAGTAGCTGCTACTGGTGTCCTTGCGATGTGCCAGTGCCCCTTCAGCCTTGGGGTTGGTGCATGACAGCCGCAGGGCGGTCTGGCCTTTCTCTGCACTCACCGCCTCGCCTTTCTCACGCCGCCTTGCTTTCTCCTTGCAGGAAAACGCTCCATCAGTGTGACGGCGCTGACGTCTCCAGGGAACATCGGCCAGCGCGGCATCCTGGGCTGCACTTTCGAGCCAGACATCTGGATAGGCAGCATAGTGATCCGGTGGGACAAGGCGGGAGTAGCCGGGCTGGTTCACGAGTTTAAAGGTGGGAAGGACCACCTGCAAGAGCAAGACGCATCGTTTCAGGGCCGCACGGCAGTGTTCGCAGACCAGGTGATCGGCGGCAACGCTTCCCTGGAACTGAGGGACGTGCAGCTCTCCGATGCCGGCACCTACCGGTGCTCCGTCACCACGGCCAGAGGGAGCGGAGCGGCAGTGCTGCGGTACAGGACGGGAGGTGAGGGGTACAAGAAAGAAAATCCTGCTGCAAAATGCAGGCTAGCGTGGCTCAGTCGGACCTACCTGCGGTTATGCAGATGCTAGAAACTGTGTGAGAGGCCCTGCTCCTCCAGCAGCCACCATTGAGCCCTGCACCTCTGAGTAGGACTGGGGTATTTTTAGCTTTTCCAGAGCTGTTTATGGCCTCACCCGCTCTTTCCACATCCTCATTCCAGAAAAGATTATTTTAATGCCTTCAGTTGTCTTTTTTCTTCTATTTACCACACGTAGTCTACCAGATACTTAACTGACTACAAAGAGCCCCTAAGAATGGGAGTAGCTAATTGATCTTACAAAAATTCAGATTTTATACCTGTTAAAGATAAAATGATAGCTTTTTCTCTCTAGATTAAGGTATATCTCCAGCCAGGAGAAGTGCTGCATAGTAAAAATTATAGCCTATTTGATATCTTTTTTCTGGTTTTCTAATGTATTCAGTTTTTAAATGGCTGGCCAGCCAGGAGAAGTGCTGCATAGTAAAAATTATAGCCTATTTGATATCTTTTTTCTGGTTTTCTAATGTATTCAGTTTTTAAAAATGGCTGTCAAAACAACCACCCGCCTATATCATAGTTAAGTATTACATATTTGCTAGAGTTAATTGTTTACCTTGTTATGAGTCAACCTTAAAACACGCACAGACACTGCTGAATTTTCACTTGTGGGTGCTTAATTCTTCTGAACCCTCTGGGCTTGGCTATCATGTCCACTGCTGGCACAAAGCAATATGCTCCCACTGAACTCAGCAGTGTTTCACCCGTTCCTGTCAGCTCTGCGTCTTTCTAATGAAATTGTGGTGAGTTACACTGACTATACAATGGGGATAACATAGGCCTGCACAGGTAGGTGGTCTTAGTGTTTCTCTGGCTGGCTTTTGCTGGCACCCCTGAGGCCCCAGCACATCCCTTGAACTCAGGGGTTGGCACAGAAGAGTCGGTCCATGACCTTCCAGGGAAAGTTTCTAAGGTAGCCAAAAGAATTGTTAGAAAGGAGGAAAAAAAAAATCATGGGTCTTTGTGGTGAGTTACACTGACTATACAATGGGGATAACATAGGCCTGCACAGGTAGGTGGTCTTAGTGTTTCTCTGGCTGGCTTTTGCTGGCACCCCTGAGGCCCCAGCACATCCCTTGAACTCAGGGGTTGGCACAGAAGAGTCGGTCCATGACCTTCCAGGGAAAGTTTCTAAGGTAGCCAAAAGAATTGTTAGAAAGGAGGAAAAAAAAATCTTCATGGGTCTCCAAACATTGGAGAGTCAGTCCTCCAGGAGAGATGTGGAAACCACCAGGTCTTCACACTCTTCCAGTGAGATGACTTTGGCTGCAGTAACAAGTCGCCTCCCAAAGGGTCACCTCATGTTGGAGACTGATGGATGAACTACTTCAGGGTCTCCTGCAGACTGCAGTCTTTGCACTCTCTCCCTCACCATTGTGACCAGCGTTGCTGTCCGACAGCTCAAACTGGTAGAGGAAAAACCGTCAGATGTCTCCAAGTCAAGGAAATGCAGTTTTAGGATGCGTCACTGCTTATGTGGTGAGACCAGGTGTACTGGCAGCATAGGGGGGTGTTCCTCCGTGCTTCAGGCCAGTCATGGCAGGGCAATAGTAACCAGCGGAGCTCTTGAATGAGACAGGCTGCTTTTCTGCAGGTCCGGTCTCCTTTTTTGGCCCAGCAGAGCCAAAGCACCAGGAGGTGGGCACCAGCTTCTGTGTAGAAGCTTGTGACAGATGTCTTGGAGGCACAGACACTTCCCCATGTCACTCACGGGGAGTCTGTCTTGGAACAGAAAGGCAACGTGAGACTTGGTGTCGCAGGAACATCTGGCCAGTGTCATTTCACACAGTCTCCCATTTCTTATTGAAAGCATGTTTTCTGCCCTGTTGCTATGTGAAGCACTTCCCCAAGCAGTGAAAAAAAGGCTGCTGGGCTCACAGGCCCCTTATTTTGCAATGGCAATGATGGAAGAACTTCTTGGGACTACAGTAGGTAACAGCAAGGCCAGAAGGCTTTGGCTCATGCCTGAGGCTCGTGCCTGGGGACTCGGTCTCCTACCCCTCCTTCAAACCTTGTGAATCTGCCTGCTTTTGTGTTGCTTGATTTGACGTTTAAGGTAACCCACACAGAAAAGGCATTAGAGAGAACACGTGAGATGCTGTATTAGGTTTTATTCCCATTGAAATTGGTGAACTCTGCTCTCCTAAAAAGCTGCTGTTTCTCTTCACTTATGTGCACGTGGGAAATACTGTGAATATACAGAGGTATGTTTTTCTAGGAGAGCGAGACTAACAAAGTTTTATTTGAGATGGTCTTGGCTTTAAAACACGGCTGAGTTTGCAACGGGCTTTAAATGTTTCATTTAATTCAGGGATGTTGGCATAAATCCTGCAGCTCAGGCCACACCTTAGTCTGCCCTCAGCCTCAGCAGGTGCAGATGGAGCTTCTCTTGGCTGCAGCTCCATTTAGCGTCAGAGTCACATCACGAAGTCGTAGGTGTTGGTCAGGCTCCCTTCTCAGTCAGCGGAGAGGGTGAGTCATCTTCCCCTTCCCCCAGCCTCTGGTAACAGCAATCATTTTGGGCATGCCTCTCCCTGCGGAGAATAGCAGGTGCCTCCTTTCAGCCACGTGCCTTCAGCAGAGGTGAGCGGATCTGTGCCAGCTGTAGTTCCTGCCCGGGGAAGCTGGGCATTTGGCAGACACGGGCAGTCTCAGGCCGGCCAGGTCCTGAGCCCAGTCTCCTCTGGGAGCTTGGATGTCCAGGAGCTCTTGGGAAATGCTTAGTTTATGAGCCTGGGACCCAGCTTGTAACTGTTAAGCAGAATTACTTAAAGATGCTAAAGCTGTGCCATGACCTCAGCAGATCTTGTCAAACTGGACTGCCTTGTCCTAGGAGTCTTTAGATCCCCTGTAGTCATCCCCCTGTAGCCCGAACTATACGGACCTCTGTCTGAGCCTCTGTGTTTGGTTTGGCTACAAGCGCTGCTGAGCAGCAAGTACTCTAGAAATACTTGGGACTGACCAGCAGATGCAGTTGGGTCTTTCACACCCAGTTCCTAGACATTTGTTGTTTTCTGACTCTCTCCCTGTTTTTCCTCCCAAAGCCTTCAGCACCCCCAAGGTCCACATGGAGAACAGCAGCAGCGGGGACATGTTGCAGTGTGAAGCACCACGCTGGTTTCCTCGACCCACTGTGCGCTGGACAGCCTACAGCGATGCCGGGGAGTACCTACCTCATGTTGCCAACACCAGCTATGAGCTGAATGCCGAAAACATCACTCTGAAAGTGGTTTCCTTTCTGCACAACATTACTGCTAACGCCACCTACACCTGCATGATTGAAAACAACATTGCCAAGGCTACAGGCAACATCAAAGTGACAGGTAGAGTTTAACACCACCCAGAGACCACAGGCACAGGGGAGAAGAGAGTTTAAACAGTGTGCCCGTGTGCGTCGGGGGGCTCCTGCAGCACCTGTGTCAGTCAAGGAAGGAACTGAAATCCGTGGCTAATCCAAGCATGTCTGTCTCTGTCCCTGGGATGAAGGAAAGGCTCTCTGTTTGGTCCTGCTATTCCAGATGTTTTTCATGGTAATGATTGCTCCCTTGGCACAGGGACAGAATTGCCAGGGAAGGGGAAGGAAGGAAGGACACGCTTCAGAAGAATGTATTCCTTTGAACGTTAACCAAAACCAAACCAAACAACCAAATCCCCCAACTTTTGACACTTTCTTTAGCCAGTTCAGCTTAGAACCCTTTTGTGCACCAAACCGGCAGGTCCCTTTAGCTGTTACTAATGACAATCTCTCTGACTCCAGCCCACCCCCTTTATTTAAAGGCCACCTTATTCACAGGAAAGCAAACTTTCCAAAAAGCTTGGATATCTTTTCCTGTTCTACATGAGAAGGGTCATAGCTCTTCTAAAGCGAGGGCTTCAGAACAGTGAGTCTCCAGCACAAAAAGCAGGGTCTATTTTTATCAATATTCAGAAAAATGGGGAGGAATAAATATACACACTCGTTTTGCCTTCCCTGCTGTGTTCCCCATTCTGGTAGCCTCTCACTATTCTTCTGCTACAGATTTCAGCATTACAAGGGGGACTAACTTGCAGCTGGTGAACCGGAACACAGAGTCAGTGTCCTCCTCCCTTCCAGCCTGTCACTGGATGCTTCTGCTTCCCCTGTATCTGCTGTCGATATAAAGCCTCTATAAAACAATCAGAAACACTGCTGGACATGGAGGTAAGCTTGGAAAGAGAAACTCATAAGCACAGATGCTCGGTATAAGTATATGTAGACCCTCTTTCTGAGTTTTGTTACAGCAGCAGACCTATCTCAAGCCTGCCGGAATGGGAGGACATGTCTTTGCACTGTGCCCATCCTTTCCCCATCCCCAGCTGTAGGTGGGACACATGGCTTGTCCCCTCCCACAGACTCCCTGCTGGCTTCTCCCATCACTTTCTGCAACTTTAGAGATTCTTCTCTTACATAGATGACTGTCATCTCTTACTCGCCCCCTCATCCTCTTTTCCTTCCCTCAACCTTCTCTCTGACCCAAAAGATAGACGTCTTGCTTGCTGCTCTGCACACTCGATGAACCTTGGCTACAGTTCATGGCTGCAAGGCAACGTGGACTTTTTCCTCTCCCTCCCCATGAGGCCTGCTGCAGTATAAGCCTTGCTTGCACCCGCTTTACTCGGACAACTCCACTGCACAGCGCAGCACCTTCAGTAAATAGTACCTAGTAGGGATACCTTGAAGAAAGCTAGAGGCAGCTGCCAGCCTGAGCAATCCCACCTAGGCCTGCAATAAGGAGGGCTGTAGGCAGTTAAAGCACAGGACAACTGATTTTGGTATTCGTCAGCTTTGGCTTTGGGTGGTAGGCTCTAGAGGTAAACTGGTGATGAGGTGGAGAGATACAGAAAATCAGCTGAAAGGAACACCTCTGTCTTTCCATGCAGAACAGTTACACAGCTACCCTGATGGCAGGACATGCTTCATGCTTTCCTCCCTCTTGGGCTAAGATCTTCTCCCAGTTCCAGAGCATGTAGTAGCACGAACATGAAGCCAGCTGATTTCTCTCTCGTGCTATTATTTCTTACCCATGCCAACAACAAGATACTTTGGTTGGCTTCAGAAAGAGAGCGAGGAACATGATAAGGAGAGTTGCATAAATAAAGGAAAAACTCTGATCACAGGAATGAGATGTGTTCTCTTGTCTGAAGTAACCCAGTGACCAGAACTCTGATCATGGGCAGAAGCTCAGAGACAAACAGGAAAAGGGTTTCCTGCAATACATCTGAGAAGTGGTCCTTCAAACTCAGAGCACTAAAAGCAAGCAAATCTTAATTCCCCCCAAACAGATTTGAGTCGTCCATCTTATGTCTTGTGATTCTCTGAATGTACTAATAAAACTGTAAGTAAGAGAGCCAGTTAATCCATTCAGTCTTCTCAGAAGACTATAATCAAACTCCCCTCCTGAAAAAGATGTTGTGAATGGCAAAACTCTGATGGATTAGAAAATAGCCAGCAGGCTTGGAATAAGTGTTGCCAGGTCTTCAACCTGGCAACGGCAAACAGCCTATATGAGGACTGATGATTGCATTTGCAATGTGAAATAAAAGAAGAACAGGTAAGTAGTAAGTGTGGCAGCAGACAGAAGAATAACGTATATAATGAGGAGGAAAAGAGGGAGACTAGTAAGATACTACTGGAAAAGTTCAAATTCAGAAGTAAAACCAGTTATTAAACATAGTTACAACTATAGAGACAAATTTGCCTTTTTTGTTTTTAAATAAGTCTGTTATCTGGCATTTCCTATCTATTTCTATAGCACCGTCTGTTACTGTTATTCATGTTACAGGACTACTTTCAGTTGCATTTTTAAATCAGATTTTGATCTTTTAATTTACATCACTTACAGTCAACATTTTCCTCAGGCTGAGAGGGTTTTTTTTGTTTGCTTTTGTTTTGTTTTCTTTGGGGAGGGTGGGGGGGCAAGCTTCAGCAAAATCGTTACCATTTCACAGAAAGCACCTACAGGAAAAAAGTCTGTCACAGCAAAACTTGTGCAGACCTTTGCTTTAAGCTGTTTTGGCAACCTTCTTAAGGATGGAGTCTCAGAACTTTGTTGAATGGTGGCATCTGTCAGGTCTTGCGCCACTCATGCTTTGGTCTTAGAAGCGGCCAGCAGGCCTTGAGCGGGAAGATATTTTACACATGCTCAGTAAACCCACCACCTGAAGTTTAATATAAGGCTCAAACTAAGGGTGAAAGGAGAAAGGCAGGGGGAAACACTGAACAAACAAAACCCAAAACGGAGTAGCTGTTCAAATACGCTGTCTGCACATGGAATAAGGCATGGAAGTAATTGTGTGTGGAATTTACTAACCTGTAGCACAAGATGGAGGATCTGGATGTTATTTTGCCAAAAGCAAGTGCAGAACCGTTGGTCATCACTGCAAGCAGATGGGAGAGGAATCTCTTCAAATGGTGATCTCCCATGTGTTGTATTGGTTAGTCTGCCGTGCCACCACGGATACTGGCATGTGCCCTTGCAGTCATCCCCTTCCTAGTCAGGAACAGATGGGCAAGCCTGTAGCATGTTGTGAATTTGTATCACAGCTCACTGCCTTCCTCTTGTTACCAGCCCCATGTAATGTTCAGGCCACTGTTTAAGCTGCAAAACAATGCCTGTATAGTCCTGTGATTTAGTACCATGATTTAGTTTCCAAACAGTGACTTATTCACTTCCTTTCTCAGAGGAAGGAAATGCTTTAAAAACATCATTTTAGTAATTTCAATTGGGTTAAGACTATCCCTTGTGGCAACCGTACAGTTTTGCATGAAGACAGTGAATCATCTGCAAAATGCCTGGCTCTGGCTCATAAACCAAGGGTCTATGTTCTGCCTCATTCCCCATATAGCGAGTAAACCCTAATACTAAAATAGATCCGGTGTTATTTAAACTGTATTTTAATAGCTTTATTTAGTAGATACTACCACATAAAATACATACATTGTGTGCCCTAGGCCCAAAGCAACCGCTACCATGTAGGAAGTATTGAACGTCTCTCTTCCAAAATGTAACCCAGTATCGCTGGTGGCAATGGTCCGGAATGACCATTCAGGATTTCCACAAGTTACAGCAGCTTCTTGATTGCACCCATCACCCTGTGCTCACAGGTCTGTGCTCCCACTGGAGAGGAGATGAAAAAAAGCTCCCAATCCCACTATTTCCATAATGCCTCTCCCACCGGGAGAGATGTCAAGCAGTGGCTCCCACTTGGCAGTGATTAGATGTCCTCCTAATTCTCTCACTGTTCAGATAGCTTAAGGCTTCTTGTTCCACTTCTTCCACATTCAGGCACAGCAGTCTCAGCTGAGGTCCCACTTGCGACACAAACTCCACTTCACCGCACCGAAAATTTCTCAGCTGCAGTGGAGCTGAAGGGGAAAGATACAACCTGTAACAACTCAGTACAGGGCTCCTGCTCTGTTGTAGCACACAGCTGTAGAAGTTGCTGGGGGAGGGAAGACCTTGCAGCAGCTGCTTGGCATCTGCTAAACCTCAAAGGACAGCACGATTAATGAATCCAGGATATAAGCAGATGAATGCATTTGGCCAGCATCCCTCCAACTTGGAGGAAACAGACATTTTACACTGTGAAACGCTGTGAACTATGTGCTGCTCACATAACTGATGCACTGGGCTTTGTATCTTTTCTCACTATCAGCAACCTGGCCTCACAAACAGTGTTACATGATAGCCAAAAGATAACATCTCCACAGCAGAGCATCCTCTGGTGCAGCACCTGGACTCATACTCAAGCGCTAGTGTTAACACAAGCAGCTAAGAAGAATGTCCCCTTAATGCAGCAACTGCACAGTTGTGGCAGCATGAGCTCAGACATCAGCACCCATGAATTCAAAACTCTTCAGCGCTTTAAAGTCTGTGGCCACAGTGAGGATTTCCAGGCCTAGTCTTGACTCTACCTGCTGTCCTGCCTAAAGTCAAAACCCACTTGGTCTGAGAGGTCTGCACAGTAACTCTGGCTGGCTAGAACCCTGTCCCATCCAAGGACTGGGAACCTTGCTCTAAAACAGAGAAAGCTTTGTGTGTAAGAGGCACATCACAGAAATAAACATGTACCTTAATATTGGGGGATGGCAGGGCAAAAGGGGGATGCTAATAAAACATGTTCCCTCCTGCCACCACAACCCCCACCCTCCCTTACTGACACCTTAGAAAAATTACTATCCCAGTTGTGTAGCTGATATATTTTCCTGGAACCATATATAAAATTTGAACAGAGAAGCTCAAAGTTGTTCACCACAGCTACAAGGACAATTCAATACTATTTTTATGCTTCTGTGTAAAGTAGAAAAATTCAGATATAATATTGTTGTATATAGTGACTTTTATAATATTATTTCTGTATTTTTGTAACCATGGTTCTGCTAAGACACATCTTAGCTCTACACTACAGAATTCACAATTCCATGGAAATCCTCCAAAGATCTTGCTTTGTGGGCAGTGAAGGCAGCTCTCCTTCCCCAGCCTGGTGAGATGGCTCCTCCCTTCCTTCCCACGCTAAATATTACAAAAGCCAACAGTGCTTGCTTACCAGGCTGCAGGATCTTGGAGGGCTTCCTGTCTAGGCTGAAATCCAGCAGGATAGGGCGACAGATGAGAGGACTCCTGCACAGGCTCCTTAGGTAGCAAGCAACGAGATCCTCAGGTTCCTCTACACACTGAGGAAGGAAAGGGTGTGTTGCCAGTGAATGTGCAGAGGGAGGCAGGGAGGGAAATCAGCAAAGGGAAATCCAGTCCAGCTGAGGCTCGAGCCCAGCATGCTGCAATTGCTACCGGAATAACCCACTCACCCCCGTGCCAGTAGCTTCCCCATCCTGAATGGACACTCTGCCTCTGCTCTGCACACAGTTCTGCAGAGCTTCCCACTCGAGAAGGCTCAGGCCCAGCATTGCTGCCACGTGCTGGTTCCTGCACAGCACCAAAGCTTCACCCGTTCCATCCTCCACCAGCACCCTATGGAGAGAGCAGGCAGACTAAGATGCGGAGGGAGGTCAGGACGATGCCCAGCTCCCTCACAAGAGTCATGTCCCAGACAATGGATCTCAGTAAAGAGAGAGGGAGGTTTGTTCACATCTGGGAAGACATGACAACTCTAACTTCTGTCTT